CTTTTTAAATGTGTTTCGTATGATTGTTGTTTAAATTGTTTTATTTCTTTTTTCAATGTATTCAAAAGTTTGTTGTAATTTTGTTTGTCAATGACTGATCTAGTACGTTGCCAAAGGTTTCTAGCCCTTCTTTTTTCGGATATTAATTACCTTATGTAGAAAGGATAATTTGGAAGATTTTGTTTTTGAGTGTGAGGCAATGACGATTTCTTTTGTTTGCATTGTTTTTGTAAATAGATCAACCGCGTTTTCTAGTTCTCCTGGTGTTTTTAGACTAATTGGGACGGAAAGGTTTTCATCAACCAAGGAACGAAATTTTTTCCACTTCATTGGTCCAGGAGTTAGAGTAGGACGATTGTTTTTAACAAAAGGTTTTAATTGAAGTGATAAAAAGACAGGTAGATGGTCAGATGATAAGTCGATGGAGGTGTTTGTGTGAAAGGGAATATTATTTATTCCCTTACAAACAAAAAAATCCAGTAGATCCGGAGATTTTTTGGTTGATGTTGGCAGATATGTGGGAGTGTTTGGTGTGATGTATTGTAAATGTGAGTTTAACATTTCACGTCTTAAAGCTCGACCTCTAGGAGAGCAAAGACGGGAGCCCCACTGGATATGTTTAGCATTGTAATCCCCTCCTGCCACGAAAGATGGTCCCAAGAATCCGAAGAACTCCTTAAACTGATCACTTGAAATTGAGTGCCTGGGTGGGCAATACACCGCTGTAAAAACAATTGTCTTGTTGAAGCATTGTAGAGAAATGGAAGTATTCTGAAATTGTGGTGTTGTGTAAGGCGGTAGGACATAATGTAAAAGTGAAGTTTTTATAATGACAGCAGTGCCACCGTGAGACGTGCCATCTGGGTGGTCAGTCCTATGTACAGTGTAGTCTGTAATGTAAAAACGAGATTTGGATGTCATGTGTGTTTCAGAGATCAAGGCAATATCGATGCGGTCTCGGTGTAATAAAAGTTCGAGTTCCATTTTACGTTGTTGAGGCCATTTGCATTCCATAAAAGAATTGATAATGTGTCAACTGTAGGAGTATTAATTACCATATTGTGTACAGAGGGCTTGGGGTCATGTGAGAAATTTGATTGCGTATGTTGAAAAGAGGATGGATGAGTGCGTTAATTTGTGTTAGAAAATGTTGGAGACCAGGCGGCATACCTACTGTTGTTGTGTTAGTAGCTTCCTCAGCCCGCTGATTATCTGTTGGTCTTCTTTGAGTCCTCACCCATGTTGGCGGTGGTAGGGCTTCGCTCTTCTTGTGAACAAGCGACGGGAAATTAGTGTCGTCTAGTTGGGGTGGTTTAGATGTACTATTGTTCTTCCTTCCTTGTTGTCCTTGTTCCGTGTTCCTTGTTGTGCGTTTTGCCTGTAGGTCTTTGAAGGCATTGCACCTTCTGTAGTTCGCAGGGTGATCACCTCCGCAGTTTGCACATGTTGCTTTGGTATCTCTGCTTTTTCCGCAAGACCCAGATTCGTGTTGGTCTCCACATGGAACGCACCGATGCTGATACCTACAATAAGATTTGGTGTGTCCGATGCCTTGGCACCGTGTGCAATGGCACGATTTGGTCTCCGCCTGAAAGGCTCTTCAATTTTTATTTTAGTGTACAATAGCGTCGAGATATCATAGATTTTTTCATTGTATTGGGTTGTCCGGAAAATAATGCAGGATTTTAAGTTTTCATTTAAAAAAATCTATATAAAATATTCTGTTTACGTTTACAGGATTACTCATTTGTATGAATGTCAACACTTATTAATCCTCTTCCAAATGATATTGTTTGTTTACCTCTGTAGCATTCCGCTACTTGGAAATAATTCAATCATCCTTATAATGTCAAAGCGAGAATTTCGTACGATTTTCTTTTACGAGTTTAAACTCGGCCGAAGCGGAGCCCAAACGGCTAGAAACATTAACCAAGTCTGGGGCGAGGGTTGTGTTAATGAGTGTACTGTGCAAAGGTGGTTTAAAAAATTTCGGGAGGGAGATTTCAGCCTTGAAGATGAAGAAGGTCGTGGAAGGCCTTCCTCTCTTAATGATGATGTTCTGCGATCAGTGGTGGAAGAAAACCCCAAAACAACTGTTCGAGAACTTGCTGACCACCTCAAGGCGATTGGAAAAGTGAAAAAACTCGAAAATTGGGTTCCACACTCATTAAACGATCGCCAAAAAAATCAGCGCTTTGATGTTTGTGCATCACTTCTTTGTCGAAACAAAAATGACCCATTTCTGGCCAGAATTGTTACATGTGACGAAAAGTGGATTCTCTACGATAACACTAGACGTTCTGGACAGTGGCTCGACAAAGGAGAAGCTCCAATACATTTTCCAAAGCCCCCAACTCATCAAAAAAAGGTAATGGTTACGGTATGGTGGGCTTCATTTGGTTTAATACACTACAGCTTCTTAAATCCTGGCGAAACCATCAATGCTGAATCATACTGTAACCAAATTAATACCATGCATCAGAAATTGGCAGTAATGAAGCCCTCTTTGGTCAATCGGAAAGGGCCCATTTTGTTGCATGACAACGCTCGACCACATGTGTCACGTGTAACGTCACAAAAATTATTGGAGCTTGGCTATGAAACTTTGCCTCACCCACCCTACTCTCCGGACCTCTCGCCTACTGACTACCATTTTTTTAGACACCTGGACCACTACTTACAACACATAATATTCAAAAATCAAACGGAACTGGAAAATGCATTTATTGACTTTATCAATTCTAAAAATTCTGAATTCTACTCAGACGGAATTAATAAGTTACCAACACGTTGGGAGAAATGTATTGAGAGTATGGGAAATTATTTTGATTAAAGAACATTGCTTTAAAGTAACTAGTTTCTTTTTTTTTGTTTAATACCAAAATCCTGCATTATTTTCCGGACAACCCAATATGTATTTCGGTTCTATGTCTACAAAAAAACATGTTCAATGGTAGTTTAAACCGTGATAGAGCGTTAATGCAATTAACTACTTGGTATCCTTTGTTACTTAATTCTTCAACTATTATTCCTGTGGGGGTAGAGAAATGCAGACCTTTTAATACAATTCTGTAATTTTTTTCTTCTTGATACGTATGAAATTCAGTTTGAGTTTTTTCCAAAAATTGTATAAATTTTCTGTATGTATGTGGTTTGTTTGCGAGTAGTTTTAACGAATTGTTAGTTTTTTATGATGAAGGAATTGACGCCTCCTATGTTTTCTAAAATTTTTGTTAGTGAATGAGCATCCACTACGTTTTTAATGTAAATCGGTGGAGGTTTCGATTCTTTTGTTTCTGTACTATTTTTATTTGAGGTTTCTGTGTCAGAAAATATTTGATATTGATTGCTTGTAGGGATTGGAGTACTCACAGTAGTTTGGATACGCGGCACTTTCCTCGGGTCCCTGTTAGCAATTTGTGGACCAGGTCGCTTTCTTCCAAAAACTTAGTGCCACTCATCTGTAAGATCTTGTTCGTTTAAGGGACTAACCTCAAAATCCGTTTCTTGATGTTCTTCATCCATTCTTGAATCGCATTGAACAGAGAAACTCAGAAGGTCCAGAGAGTTTAAAAGCAAAGTTCGCAATTATATTAATTTCAAAGTTCCAAAGCCATAAACGGCCAGAAACTTATAGAAAAACAAATTTTTTGCAAGCTGTTTTACACTACGTGTGAACGAGTCTCTATAGCTAACATCTGTATGTAATCACTAATTTAAAATTATTTTCTTACAATATTTATTAGGTTAATATTTAATTGTGTTGTAATTCATGTTTTTCGCACGAGCGGCATTAAGGCCAGCTTCTCATTGGAACGTAGCGTTGGTGTTGGATCGGCGGGTTCACATGTTGAGAGACGTGTTTGTAACGCCTTCAAACTGGAGACGACGTTATAGCTCGAAATCCGGAAAGGCTGTGAGTAAGAACTATCTTTTGAAAAAGTAAATAAACGTACCTAACCCACCGTTATTTTTTTGTTATTTTTCTTAATATAAGAGTATGGAGCCGAAGATCGTGGGTTATGGCTCGTGATACTAGCTTTTTCATCTCAACCAAGATATCATATACCGTACCAAGATAAAAAGTATAATTAATATCTATGAGGTTTCGTGGTCCGATTGATCAAATGAATTATTTTCAATTAATTAATCTTTAATTAAGGTTTTGGTTGAGACAAAAAAGTCAGTTTCTCGAGCGGGATTCGAACCCACGATCTTCGGCTAAATACGCCGCTGCTCTACCACTTGAGCTACCGTGACCGCTGAGACACCAACCTCCCATCTCAACCCCACCTTTTGAATTTTCCCTCGTTTTTGCAAGTTTTCAAATGTGAAATCTATTTGATTCTTGGCGACAAATGAAATGGCCACGGAGAGCTTTAGTGAACCTCGTAGATGTAATATGTAAAATGAAGTACACTTCACTAACTTCTATTTAACCGAAGATCGTGGGTTCGAATCCCGCTCGTGATACTGACTTTTTTGTCTCAACCAAAACCTTAATTAATTGAAAAGTATAATTAATTTAAAAAATTACTATGTCAATTATGTCTGACTGTTTACTTGAGTTTACATCCAAATTGCGTAAAAGAGACAATTTGAACTTTATTTTCCAAGTCCTATTTTTTCATGGCTTTTGTAATATAATAAACAACAATTGTTTCCTATCAATAGAAGAGATTTTCAAGTCGAAGGGTACCCAAATACTTTTGATGACAGTAACCTTATATTATAAATCTGGGGTTTGTATCCGAAGAGACGGCCCTTTCGGCTAATCCATTATTCTTGTGGTCGCGGCCCCTTTGAAAATCCTTTAACTCACCTTCCGCCTTTCTATACCTGGAATAACAGTTTTATCTTCAAAGGACGATACCCTAAATCCGTCTCATGGTGGGGGAAAGGGCTTGACTTGCTTTTAAGGGGAAAAGGGACACCTCTCCTCGAGAGCTTTCTAGTCGTATCCTCGATATGCGTTCGTTCGTCTTACTTTTGACCGTTGCGCTGGTAACTGCAAGACCCAAAAATTGGTACAAGATGGTACGTAGAAGTTTATTATACACATTTTTGTTTGATTTTGTAATAATTGAATTTAGTAAATGTTTAAAATGTTGAAGTTGTTTTACTTGCATATAGTTAAAAAAATTGAACAATCGTGTGTTTTGTTTGTTAGTTTGCTAGATGTATCTAATAATGTTGAAATAGATACTGGAAAAAATTGGCATGAGGTGGAAATGGTATGAAATTGTAATGAGTCTAATATGAATATAATAATACATTTTGTAGAAGTTTTGATTGTAATTAAGCATAATCAGTTAATTCGAGAATTTCTATATTAGCATGGTTACATTCACATTTTGTATTTCCCAAACTCATACTCATTTTTCTAACTTGTATGATCATTTTCATTAATTATTAATCACTTAATGTCTATATACAAACAAAACATGTTAAAAATTATCTGGTAACTTTTCAAACTTTTTATCTGTATTTACAAATATTAAAAATCTGAATTTTTTAAACTATCAAATCGTTTTTTCATTATAAGTACAGAGAAATAATACGTTTTTAAAAGTTATCTGTTTCCGTTCAAACTTTTCCTCAGTACATACGACAAACAAAACACTTTGTTTACTTCCCTACTTTTTCTCTGTATTTACCAATTTTAAAAACTTTCATAGTTGCTTTTTTTGTTAGCTGTGACGGTCTTGATAATCCTTTGTACATACGGACAGTTTTTGGTAAGTTAACTGTTTACTTTCCATTTTTTTCTGTATAACCAGAGAAAAGGTAACGATCACTGCTAAAAAAAACATCCACGACCTTTTTACTATGTGTTTATACAGATGACAAATTGGTTGACATTTTGTTCGTTACAGAGAAGCAAGGCGGCTAGAAAAACAACCATGAATTTTTTTATGTTTTATACACAGAGAAAAATTTGACAGCCAACATATAAGTTTTAAGAAGTTACATACACAGTACAATTGATCATCTTAGCTAAAAACAAACAAACAACCCTTTTTAAAATTATCTGTTTATTTTTAAACTTTCAAACTTTCTTTGAATATAGTTATGGTTGTTGTATATATTTTAGGATCTACTTTATAACCTAGGATCTTTTTAAATGTTATCCTCTGTAGTGGATTTTACATAAATTAGTTATTACATTTAATATTTTTAAAAAAGGCAAATTTTGACTCAGTGACCACCGAAAATTTAAGAGCTTAAGGGGGCGAAATGGCTAAAGAACCAGCGACACTAAACGATAATCATTAATTACATTCGGTCATAGCCCCCGGACCCGAAGATCACTAATGATCCGATAACTGGCATTAGTCCAGAAATTCTAAAATAATCTGATCCTCTCATAATCAATAAAAGCGGATTAATCATTGTGTGTGTTTCCATTAGGAAGATTGACTTCACAGTTTTATACTAATTCTTTAAGATTTTCTGTCTTCTAGATGTTAGAAAATCCGATCCTCTATTCGAGGGAATCAGAGGACCATCAAAACGAGGCCAAATGGTGCCTGGAACGTTACGGAAACAGGCTGAAATGGACAAAAGACGAATCTGTTCTGGATTTCGGCTGCGGGACTGGAGACGTCTCCGTCAAAATTCTCTTTCCTTATATCAAAGACAAAATATCATCTATGGTAAATTTTTATTTTCAAACATCATCGCAATAATTCTTTCAGGTTTCAATTTTTGATAGTAATAAATTAAATCTATTGCAGCTGTGTGTTGACATGGACCCAAAAATGATCACTTTTGCGAAAAAACAGTTCAAAGAGCCGAAGGTAAAGTTTGAAGTCTTCGACGTCGGCCAGGCTGAGAACATCTCGAAAATAAGCCCCGTAGATAAAATATTTTCTTTTTTTGCTCTGCAATGGGTTGGAGATAGAAGGTAAATTTATTAATTATAATTATTTGAAAATTTTGATTTGGTCTGTTAGTGTGAGGTAAAATGTTTAGATAGCAAATTCTGGTTTGAATAAAACTTGAGACCTTTTCTTTGCATGTTAACAGTTCATAGGTCCAATCACGTACGAGGTTTGTCGGGTTCGAGAAAGCCTGGAGGAATTTTTATTTTTGTTTATTTATTTGAAAAGTGAACTTGGGGATTGGTTTTGACCTTGGTTTTACAACTGCAAACTAAGGTCATAAAGGACACCATGGCAATGAAAAGGCGGATGGCCTGGCCAAAGAATACTGCATTTGTCGGGCCACAACCTGTATTACCTCAATCTATGAGCTCAGCGAAGGAGAGTAACTGGGGCATGAAACAATTCCGTAGGGAGAGGAATTTATACTACGGACACAGGCAAGAAAGAGTGAAAGAGTTCGTTAAGGTGATCTAACCAACATAATCGAAATGGCTATTCTCTATCTCAAGGAAGGGAATTAGGAGGCTGATAGGTATCCTGACGGGCCACTGCCCACTGAGAAGACACCTCTCCGTAATGGGTATTCTACCAGATCCCTTTTGCCGTTTTAGCGAAATAAAAGAAGAAACGGCAAGGCACTACCTCGCGGAGTGTGTTAGGTATGCTAGGTCTAAATTTGAAATCTTTGAAGGANAAAGTTGCAGGATGAAGAGGAGTTTTTAGAGTGAGCAGCAGTGTAAAGTGGAGTAGTGAAAGTATATTTTCTTGAGGACCACCAGTGTTTATAGGATAAATATATATAAGAAAACCTTGGGCTACGTGGTAATAGGTGGGAGTGTTCAAATATCCACAGCTCCACAGCAGGCCTAAGTGCAATACTCGATTAAATCCTTGTGATATATTCGAAAATTCCATACCCATCCCTGACCATAACAACTTTAAAAAAATTAATACCCTGGGGTCATTGATGACGATAGCTTTAGTGTCCAAGTGGATCGAAGTCACGATAGCTCAAGTGGAAGAGCTGCAGCGTATTTAGCCGAAGGTCGTGGGTTCGAATCCCGCTTCTGTCGCTGACTTTTTATCTCAACCAAAACCTTAATTAATTGAAAATAATTTATTTGGTCAAGCGTTGGTTACCTAATAAATTGTAACAAGCAAAATGAAGTATACTCCACTAAAGCTCTCCGTGCCCATTTCATTTGTCGCCGAGAATCAAATAGATTACACGACATCTGAATAATGGCAAAAAAGGAGGGAAAATCAAAAGGTGGGGTTGAGATGGGAAGTTAGTATCCGAGTGGATCGAAATCACGACAGCTCAAGTGGTAGAGCTGCGGCGTATTTAGCGAAGGTCGTGGGTTCGAATCCTGGTTGTGACACTGACTTTTTTTATCTCAACCAAAACCGTAATTAATTGAAAATACTTTTCAATGTTTCTGCTGTTTCATGGCAAAGCCTCCAAGTTTTTGATTTTGATTTTCATTTAAAGTTTTAAACTGGCAGTGGCCAGTATAATAGTTTTCTTAATTCTTGCCTGTTGGGAAAGAGGTCGATTTTGGTTTTCTTGGTCAGAGCATTGAGAAATTTTGCTGGGTTTGCAACTAGTGAATTCATCCAGTAATTTCTTTATTCATTCATGTGGTCAAGAAAGCGTCAAGTTTGCTCCGTGGAAAAGATGAGAGCGGTACGGTTTAAAATTGTAAATCCGGAGTACATCCTAATTTTGTATTTTGAAAACGTAAAACCCTTCGAACATTTCGGAAAGAGGAATGCGAGTTTTCCCGAACATTCAGTAAAATGTGTGGTCTTAGTGACCGTTAGGCAATGATTATTGTTTGAGCCCTGAAGATGATATCAATAAAGATCGAAACGTTGGCACGATAAAGAAAATGTTTTTCTGAAACCTGCATCACACCAGACCGCATCTCTCGATTTCCGAATAATATAGTAAAATAATAGAGTGGGCAAGTGTTAAAAACATTAGCTACTCGTCGAAATTACGCTACTGGTTTCTCATTTATAATTTTTGTCAAAGTTTGTCTTGTTTTTGACCAATTTAAAATCCGATTGCACCATTGTTTTCATTGTACAAATTATTTTTTTAAATGACGTGTCAGGATGTATAGGGTAGTATTTGAAATTTTGAAGTTAAACTGGGCTGGTGGTACCCTGTACAATTTTTTTCCAAAAAAGGTAAACATTTTAAGCCAGTCTAAAAAATATTAAACTTTTTTTGTAGCGTAATTGATTCAAGAGAAATTCCCGAGCTATCTTAAAAGGACACCCAGTAATAATTGTTCGATTTTTTCCAGCACTTTGGGAGCTAATATATATCAGCTTCTTAAGCCAGGTGGGCAGACTTTTCTCCTTCTTGTGGCCAAAAACGGCCTCTACTTCGTATGGGACGAGGTGGCCAAAACGGCCAAATGGCGACCATATCTAACCGTGAGTTCCAAAATCTTACAAATCTTTGAATTATATTCCAATTTAAAAATTTTATTATTTCAGGACGAAATCGAACATCTGAACGAGTACGCTTACAGCGACGACCCGCTCAGCCTTTTCACAGAGGCCTTGAGAAATGCCGGCGTCAAAATTGAATTCGCCGAACAAATCCAAAGGGAAAACGTTTTCAAATCGAGAAAACTAACTGACGAACTTATGAGTAAGTAATAATAAATACATCCTCTTAATTATAAAATATTGACAGGAAAAATAAACTTTAGCTTATTACAACGAAATTTGAACAAATTTAGTTGATAAAAAAGATTGTCTAGTTTATAAACCCATGGGTATTGCAATGACTGCTGGCTCATGAAACTCGATTGCCAAAGGGGTCTGGAGTTTGATCAATAATAAAATTTAATTAACCAATTGAACTAGCTTTATTGAACTTATACTTTTATTACAATGTTGGCAAACTAATGCCAAGCAACAAGTGACGCCTTAAGTCACTCCGTTGTTTTCCCTCCACTGACTTTTTCCTGGAGTAATACTAGTACTGTGCACGGGAAATTTAAATCTAATCTTTGTTACACTACACCACTACAGGTCAACTATTACAAAGGCGGCAATAATTACTGAGTTCCTATTTATGCTGACTACAACATTCCTTTATTTCCGAACGATTGCACATTTTAAAAATTGCCTATCCATATTGTTTATAAATAATGAAAGTTTTCTGAAATGGCATACTAAAAACATTTTTGACAGTATAAAGTCTGTGCATGTTAGACACTTCAGTCTGTGATAGTTGCACAGGATTGATAAACTATATTTTTTCCAGTTCAAAAAATCAGGACTGTCGATCCTTACGTGTCCAAGATCCCACACGAGCTGAGGGCCGACTACCTGCAGGACGTGTTGACCCTCACGAAAAAAATGGTCTCGCCCAAAGGCGCCACGGACTACACGGGTTTGATCGTTATCGCCTCACGCCCCAAATGACATGGAGTGATTACAACTAGATTATTTATTTATTCTCTCCCTTCTTTTACCCATAATTGCCTTTTTTACACCTTTGTAGATTACATTGAAATAAATAGCTTCTTAACAACTTACCTTGATTGAAAACCCAGTGGCTAACATGAAAATAAAATTAATAATGTATGATAAAAAAAACGGATAGTAATAACAGAATGAACAGCATGTAGTAAGAGAGAGAGAAAGAGAGAGAGAGAGAGAGAGAGAGAGAGAGAGAGAGAGAGAGAGAGAGATGTGACGTAGGTTAAACCTAAATATAACATTTTTCAATTAATTAATATTTATGAACGTAATTGATTGAGATAAAAAAGTCAGTGTCACGAGCCGGATTCGAACCAACGACCTTCGGCTAATTCGACTAAATACGCCGCTGCTCTACCACTTGAGCTATTGTGACTTCGGTCCGCTCGGACACTAACTTCCTATCTCAACCTCACCTCTCGAAAATGGACTTAAATATAACGTGTATTCATTAGTGACCAGTTGTTTCATAATTTTTTGAAGTCGTGAGGATCGGTGAGGAATGAGGTAGTTTAGAAAAACACCTTTTTCTTTTTTTTGCGGACGTTTCGACCTTTATTCAGGTTATCTTCAGAGACTGGGGAAATTACAAACACATCTTTTTTTTTTTTTAGCTAATCCACGAGGTCGTGTCTTACACAGTGTCCTCTCCGCCCAACGCCTCAACTTCATATCTCCTCCTGATCCTACATATTGGCCCACTGCTACTAACAAACGCCCAGATCTCCTAGACTTCTTCATTACATCCCAACTCTCTTCACTTCACCACCATGTTTGTACATTGAATGATCTCTCATCGGATCATAGTCCTGTTCTATTAACTATCGACACCTATCCCATTCCAACTGCCCCTACAGCTACATTAATACACGGTCCAGTAGACTGGAAACAATTTGGAATACATTTGGAACAGAAAATAAATCTCAAAACCCCCCTTAAAACACACCACGAAATAGACACTGCAATCGAAAAATTCACATTATCAATAACTGAATCGATCAGTGATTCAACAATTCACACACATCCACAAAACACATATTCTCAGCACATTAACGTACCGCTTTATATTCGCTACCTTATACGATCAAAAAGACAAGCTCGTAAAGAATGGCAAAGAACACGTTACCCTTCAGATAAACGAAAACTGAATAAACTAACACATCAGCTGACTACGGAATTGCAAGCATATCGCTCCGACCGATTCAGACGATTTACTGAATCACTAACAACAGAAAACAAATCTCTCTGGGCGGCAGCTAAAAATCTTCTATCTTACCACAAACACATCTTAATTGAAAAAAAATGCTGTACAGATGATTGTTTGGAGATCATGAGATCCGGTCTGGTGTGACGTAGGATTATTCTTTCTTATTTCATAGATAGATAGAAAGAGAGCGAGGTACAATCATCAGGGATAAACAAAAAGAATCGACGACAACAAAAAAGAACAAAACTGATTACAGATATTAAGAATATTAATGAATAAGTGTTGAATTTTCTTCAAATGAAATATACCTTTGACTGTAATATCAAAGTGTAGAGATTAGTGACCGTTAATGGATAGTTATTCAGATATCGTGAGATGCGGTCGGGTGTGATGTAGGTTTCAGAAAAACATTTTCTTTATCGTGCCAACGTTTCGATCTTTTATTGAGATCATCTTCAGGGCTCAAAGTGTTTGTCTTCTGTGTAATTGTGCCATCCTTGCGTGTCGTGTTGAGAGTGAGTCAAATAGCAAGTTGCTTAGTTTTAAATTTTATTGACTGATAATATTTTCTGTAATTTATTCCTCAATACTGTTGCATTATACATGGTCCAACTTTTGACTGTAGAGTACAGCAAGCCGTTTGTTTTTATACTCCATTTATAAGGGTTTTTATGCGGAAGCCATTTAGAATTTTTATCACGGACGGACAGACATCGGTAGAGAGGTCCGGCCGTGGGACAATAGCTATCTGAAATATAAAATAAAGTGTCCCCGTTGCCTCTCCCCGCCTCCGCGATTGTATTCAAGATGTGAATTTTTATTAAGTGGCCGTTTGGAAATTTAAAGGAGGCGGGGCAGGAGATAAGAAAGGAAGAAGGAGCTGCGGGGCGCCGCCTGCGCCGTGCCCTTTTCCTAATATTCTTCCGATATCTCTTACGAGCAGAAGATAATGCCGTCATTAATTTATAATCACTGGTATCGCCTCCCGTGAACCGATTTTAATATTAAACTCCTATAAATATAAAAGGGGCGGAGATAAATCAGAATTTTCTCTCTGTCGGAATGAGGGTGTCCTATCGAGGGTGACTCTTCGATAAGGGAAAAGGTTCATTAGGGCCCTGGCGGAATTAATATCTATCTGAATGAGGAAAAGGGCTTAAGAACGGGCCGGTTAGTATGCAAGGCTGGCAGGCTCTTCTTGGGGAAGATAACGCACCGACTCACGTGTGCAGAACGGCGCACTCACACCACCTCAATATGTTAGCGACAAACGTATGAGGCACTACGTATTGCGAATTTACCCGCAGTAAATATGTATATTGCCAGTCTGACAGATTTTGTATCTCGAACATTAAGACTGTACTGTATATTTCACGTCTGCGACCAATGACTTCTCGCAAATGACATCAAGCCAATACTGTTGGGTTGTTTCACATGAATTGTCCCTTCCAAGGTAAAGATTTTTTAGTTAAATTACTATATAAAAACAAAGCCATTTTATTCTAAGTATTTACCTTCCTACACGTTTTTCCCTACGCGTGACGAACTTTTTTATACCGGAACTGAAGAATTCTGAACTTTGAAATTAAACAAAATCTGAAAACGCTGTGTGGACTTGAACATCTTTTTCAAAAATTTTTCCTTTGACGAAGTTCTCTAAATTTCTAAATAGGTAAAATCTGTTGGAAACAAATCTGGAGGATACGGTAGATGCTGAAGAACTTCGCAGTCAAGCTCTTTCCATTTTTTACGGTATGTTTTGAAACATTATGCCTGGCGTTGTCACGGAGGTATAGGACCTTTCCGATTTACCAATACATGTTGTTTTTTGAGTAATTTTTTATGCATTTCGTCAATTTCCTTGCAGTATGATTTGCCTCACTTCTAGGTAAAAATTAGTAGTGAATACTTCCGGCCATACGGTCACCGTCAATTTTAATATTTTCTCATCATGTTCAGTGGTGGTAATCATAAGTCTGTACTGTACATTACACGTCAGCGACTAATGACTTCGCACAAATCAAATCAAGCCGGGTTGTTTCACATTAATTTTCCGTTGCAAGGTAAAGATTTTTTAGTAAAATTACTATACAAAAACAAAACCATTTTATTCTAAGTATTTACCTTCATTTCCTACATGTTTTTCCCAATGCGTGACGAACTTTTCTATACCGGAACTGAAGAATTCTGAGCTTTAAAATTAAACAAAATCTGAAAACGCTTTGCGGACTTGAACATCTTTTTCAAAAATTTTTCCTTTGAAGAGTTGTCTAAATTCCTAAACAGGCGAAAAGTCTGGAGAATAAGGTGGATGCTGGAGAACTTCGCAGTCAAATTATTACAATTTGTTTACGGTATATTTTGAAACATGATGCCTGGCGTTGAAGCGGAGGAGTTTAGGACCTTTCCGATTTACCAATGCAAGTTGTTTGTTTGAGTAATTTTTTATGCATTTCGTCAATTTCCTTGCAGTATGATTTAGAGGTAATAATCTTACCTCTAGGTAAAAAGGAGTAGTGTATACTAGCCATACGGTCACCATCAATTGTAATATTTTCTCATCATGTCCAGTGGCGGTAATCATATATATTACCACCACTGAACATGAGACAATTTTCAAATTGAATTTAATGTGTGGTGTTTAGTGACCGTTGTCAATGATTATTCGGAGATCGTGAGATGCGCTCTGGTGTGATGTAGGTTTTAGAAAAACATTTTCTTTATCGGGCCAACGTTTCGATCTTTATTGAGATCATCTTCAGAGCTCAAAGTGTTTTCTGCGTAATTGTACCATTCTTGTGTGTCGTGTTGAGAGCGCCAGTGTGTGGGTAAAAGAAACATTTTAAACATAGAAATCACCACGAGCATTAAAAACATTAAGACATTAACACAAAAATTACACCAATTAAAACTCAGTGCCGCCAACATAATACCCACAAACATTTAAAAAAAATTACGAACATCAAAAAGATGCATACAATTTCCACTTTGACCAAATACACCATAAAACTGAACAACTTAATTAACAAATAAACACCTGTTAGCACAAACAAATGGCTTCTAAACCTAAAAAACTAACAGTCCTCCAGAAATCCAAAACTTTCTATCATTTGGTCTAAAACATTCTGTTCCTTACAACAAAACAGATTTCCCAAAGTTAAATAATTTCAGATGTAGACCATGCAATCCAAAAGTCCACAAAAATAGAAGAAGAAAAAGACATTACTCAACATAGCTCAAAATGCATTAACACAATAACAACTCACTTACAACACCTCACTACAAATCAACACAACATATCTCAACAAACATACACCAAAACCATATAATTTCTCAAAAATAATCCTGACATACTCACTCATTCTTTCTGCTGATAAAACAAAACAAACAGTAACAATCAGCAGAAAAGAGTACAAGGAAACAATTAACAAAATTATCAAAGACACAAACACATACAGCAAAATCAAATCAGACCCTACCCCTTCTCTCAGGGCACTCCCAACACGACGCACAAGAATGACATTACGCAGAAATCAAACACTTTGAGCCCTGAAGATGATCTCAATAAAGATCGAAACGTAGCACGATAAAGAAAATGTTTTTCTAAAACCTACGTCACACCAGACCGCATCTCAACATGTACAATGGTGGTAATCATATAATCATATATTATATATNTATATAATTACCACTACTGAACATGATGAGAAGCCGAAAGGTGTCCGATAAATTTGAGAAAGTGATCGAAACCTATAAAAAAAAATAACATACTGGTCAAATATAAATATACGCACATAAAAATGTCGTGAACTTTAATAACAGGCCGACGAAAAGAGCCCATAATT